AATACCATGGTTTTTATTTCATTTATTGTTGTGAGCCTATTTGGAAATCTACACAACAGAAAACACGATTTCAAAAACAAATGAACTATTAGGGATTTCACAAATAGAAAAAAATTGCTCAAAATGTGGCATCAATATAATAGGATTCAAAAATGTGTTTCACGCATTTTGATTTCAGGCCCTGAAGATCAAAAGTTGTTTTGTTCTAACACCTTCAGTGGGATTGGTTTGACAATAAGATGAATTGATTTTGCGAAGGCTTCAGTCAGTGACTCAGCGTTCAGCGGCAGAAAATATACAAACTTTCTCTCAAATAACATTACAAGTTCTCATGAGAGTTTGCTTTAATGGTGACTTTGAGGCTTCATCTTTATGGAAAACAAGGAAACAGCCAGTGTGGAAAAACTGCCACCATTGAACATTTAATTTTATTTATATCAATTTATATCAAGCTTATGAACATGAATGTACAGTTGTAATGTACAGTATTTACATATTATTATTATTAATATCATTATTATTATTATTATTATTATTATTATTATACATGATGCAAACCTATATAAGTACATACACATAGATTCATACAGGTGTAGGTTTTCCTTTATACATTATAGTTAGATAGATACAGTACATGCAGCAGCTCGAGTCCTGACCAGAACTAGGAAGTACGACCACATTAGTCCAGTTCTCAGGTCTCTGCACTGGCTTCCTGTTCCTCAGAGAATAGACTTCAAAGCAGCTTTACTTGTGTACAAGTCTCTCCATGGTCTCGCGCCAAGGTACATCCATGACATGTTTGTGCCATATGAACCGACCCGGACTCTGAGGAGCACAGGGACTGGACTCCTGTTAGTGCCCAGAGTCGGTACTAGACATGGGCAAACTGCATTTCAGATTCATGCGGCTAGAGTCTGGAACCGTCTTCCTGAGAATGTGAGACAGGCGTCTACTCTGGCATCTTTTAAATCTAGGCTCAAAACAATTCTGTTTAGCTGCGCATATACAACTGAATGATTTTATCTTTTCATCTTTGTTTTTATCTTTAATCTTTTTAATGCACTGTGACTATTTATGATTTTAGTCCCATCTGTGATTTTAATGTTTAAAGGTTTTTAATTTTTGTGATTTTATTTTTAATGTTTTTAATATATCTTGTGCTCTTAATGTGTTTGATTTATGCATGATGTGATAGGGGATGTGAAGCGCTTTGCGTTGCCTTGTGTAGGAAAGGCGCTCTACAAATAAACGTTGATTGATTGATTGATACAGTAGATAGATAGAGATAGATAGATAGATACAGTAGATAGATATATAGATAGATACAGTAGATAGATACAGTAGATAGATAGATAGATAGATACGGTAGATAGATAGATACAGTAGATACAGTAGATAGATACAGTAGATAGCTATATAGATACAGTAGATAGATACAGTAGATAGATAGATAGATACAGTAGATAGATAGATAGATACAGTAGATAGATAGATACAGTAAATAGATAGATACAGTAGATACAGTCGATAGATACAGTAGATAGATAGATAGATACAGTAGATAGATAGATACAGTAAATAGATAGATACAGTAGATACAGTCGATAGATACAGTAGATAGATAGATAGATACAGTAGATAGATAGATAGATAGATAGATACAGTAGATAGATACAGTAGATAGATAGATAGATAGATAGATACAGTAGATACAGTAGATAGATATAGTAGATACAGTAGATAGATAGATACTTTATTGATCCCCGTAGGAGAAATTCAGGTGTCCAGTAGCAGCAAAAATAAAATCGATCAATCTAAAAAGCTAACGGTAGTAATAATCAGTAACAGTCCTTCAGGTCACAGCAGCAGAGGTGGAGTAGCCTCTGGGTGGAGCAGGACGGGTCACAAGGTGGAGTAGCCGCTTGGTTCGGAACATTTTCTCTGCTTTGGTCCAAAGTATGCGTCATTAGCATTTTTCAAAAAGTTAGCATTCCTCCAGTGGATGTTCCCCTGATCCGGTTGGTTCGGACCATGAATCCTCTCTGCTCTGGTCTGGACCAGTGTAAAACCATGAACACTGTACTGCAGCAACATCTCAGGCAGAAAAAAGCCAAAAATTGTAAAGCACAAAACAACAATTTTTCAGAGCTACTTTGGACTTGCAGTTGTTTTCCAGCGCAATCAAAAGTAGAATGGAGTGGCAAAAAATATAACACAAATATAAACAATAAGTATGAATATATGTCTGTGGTTGTGACACGGGGTATGAACACTTTTTCCAAGCATGCTTCTGCTGTCGGGAGAAAAGTATTTATTTATTGACTTAATTTTCCTCAGAAGAGTTCAAACGAGATTAAATACCTTGCTTTATTTCACAGAAGTCCTGGCCCTGAGGCAAAGTTACGCGTTGAATAGATACATATTAAAAAAAGACAGAAAGACACATACACGTAGCACACATCAATCAGTCTCGAATGCTCTCATGTGTATGTTCCGACGTGAAGACATTTCTGGATAAAAACTCTCTCTCTGTAGCACAACGCAAGCACAAGCACCTGTGTCGACAAAAGATTTTTTCCCCAGCGGTGAGTGGGCGAAAGCAGCTGATTGTTGGCTCTCAATACAGTCTGTACTTCTGTTTAAATGTAATGTACAACTGTGAAAAGACAGTGTAAGTGTATCAATGACACTGCCTCCTACTGGACAGAGAAGGCCATTACTCTCAAAAGCTCCAGGGATAAGACTTGACCATAGACTGTAAATATTAACGAATGTAGTCACGCCTATCTCTCTATGTGCCACCACTTTTGCCAAGTGTGGGCTTTTAAAAAATGGCTACGGGGAAGTCCACAGCGGCTAAACTAGACTGGTCCAAAACAAAATACTCCCCTCAGTATAGACAGCATCAGGAACGTAGCTTTGGACCAAGAGCAGAATTTTGGACCATCCTGTAAAGACGTTTTTTGATAGGAAAGAAGATACCATATTATTATTATTATTATTATCTTTATTTGTCAGACTCGAAGTCCATAAAATACAAACACCACATCACAAACACAACAAACAAACGATTATTAAAGACATCTGCACCAGAGCTTCCACAGAGCTGACTGGTAACGCACAGCACTAATACTGGGGTTCACCAGAGACTGCACAAAAGAGCTCTCACTGACATTCAGGCGGCACATAACCCTGTACATCATATTTCTCATTAGAGCATGAAAAGAGTTCACATGAGTCTGACAGAACACTAGACTCTCACTACTGGACCTGGGCTTTTTCAGCAGAATCCTGAAGGCATCATTATAGGTAACTTTGAGCTTCTGTAGTGCAGCCTTCTTCTATCTGCACCACAGTGGGCTGTATACAAAGGTGAACAGTACATTTTGATCATTTTAACTTTAACATCAGCTGTGGACACTGTGAAATCTTCGCACTACTGTGTTGGCTTGAGCGTACAGTATTCCGACACTGACAATTAATGTCATCATCATCACAGAGTCGTCAGTTATGATGTGACCCAAGTATTTCATTTTACTGCAGAACACAAGGTGGCAACAGTGGCTCAGTGGGTAGAGCATTGGCCTTTGAGCCTGAAAGTCTCAAAGGCCACCGACTTCCGCTGTCGTTGTGTCCTTGGGCAAGACACTTAACCCCACTTTGCCTGAAGCCCCTGTGAAAGATCAAGGCTATGCTCACACTGACAGAGCAGCCATCCTCCTGTGGACTCACCACCTACAGAGGATCAGCGAGGGACTGGTGCTATGAGACTTGGGTGGCATTACTGATTGCCATCCCCCCGACCCAGAAATGGATTGAGGATTAGAAAATGGATGGATGAATGCCAACACAATTAAAAGTCTGGAAAAAAAAGATGTTGGTCTCCTTTGGTGCAGGAGATCAGTACTTCGCTCTTTTTGGCATTATATTGAATATGAAACTTGAACCCATAATCAGAGCATGTATTCAACAGCTGCTGAAAGCCAGAGAATGGCCAGATCATCAGGGGAGAGAACGGATAGATCAACGGCATAAATAAAATGGTTGACCAGCGTGTTACCAATCATGCAGCCTACAACCATTCTAACACCGAGACAGGTTATTCATGAACAGGTTAAACAGTGGGGACAACAGTCTGCCCTGATGCACTCTGTTACTAACGCCGAAGGCAGCTGAGATGGTATTACCCCACTTAACCTGCATCTGCTGATTATGATTGTTATGATGCTATCAGGTACATTCCATTCTTTGGTTTTCCCATAAAGCCTACAGGGGTTTACTCGATCAAATGCTTTGGATGCGTCAATGAACCCTAGTAACACAGAAGAGTTTTGTCTTAGATACACCTGTGCAGTCTCATTTAGACAGAAAATGCATAGATCAGCCCCAAACTTTGATTTAAATCCAAACTGATTGTTTGTTGGGCTTATGCAGTGACTCAAGCGACCCATCAGTATCTTCTCGAGGACTTTCACTGCTGTCAGACTGTACAATAAGTCACTTAAAGTCATTTGCACTAGGACTACAAACCTGCTCTACTGTTGCCACCATTTCTTTAATCAACACTTTTTTGTATTGTACATAACATTGCTTCCACAGATTATATATTTTTTGCCTTCAACATGTTGGCACACTTCTTTCTTTCTGAGTGATTTTATCCATGCCAAATGTGACAGGTAAATTTCTCCAGAAAGAGATGAATAAAGTCTTATCTTATCTTATATTTACAAAAGCATTGGGCATTGGGTAATTCTCTTTCCGGGTACACCCCCACCGGCCAGGAGTGAGATTACAGCATTTGAGGGCACGTGCTCATGGACCTTTTGGAGCCAGGACCCGCCCCCACTGTGCTTGACTCTACAGTTTGAGCACATGAACAAGCAGCATTCATATAAAAATAAACTATAATCCAACTCAGATAATGTGGCAGAGACAAGGCCCTTCTTTACACTAACAAAAACATGTATAATTATGGAATTTAAAACAATAAATTTAAGAGCATGATGAGCAGAGGTCAGTGGGTATATTTTTCTCCTCTGAAAACAGACAAAATATGTGTTTGGTAATCGCCATCTTCCTATTGAAACTGTAGTTGAATAAAGAAGACTAAGGTAATGCAGTAGTACTGTAAGATCAATCCAGACCAAACACTAAAGACCAATTCTTCAACAATAAAAAGGTTTAGTAAAATTATAAGGTGAAAAATGTGAATCTAAATCTTATTGTTTGCTAATGAATATAGAAAGTGCTGCAAGCAGTACTTTAAAACTGTTTACAAAAGCATCCTTCATATAGCCTTGTTTAAGATAAGATAAGATAAGAATTCCTTTATTCGTCCCACAGTGGGGAAATTTCGGTGTTGCAGCACACAGACAGGACAGTAGTAGGAGCACACAGGGAGCACACACAATATATACAAATAAGTAGTAGCTATGTTTCTTAGCTAACAAAGCTATAGCTGTAGATGCTGAAAATGCTTCAATACCAGTCAAAATGTCTGTAGTAGTGCAGTTATATACTTTTTATCCTGCACTATTAAACTGTACAGTATATAAGTAAAGTGACATGAGGTAAAGTGACATTGTTCTGTGACATTCTGAAGTTGCACATTGCACATGATTTAAGAATTTACTTAATTACAGATGAATGAAATTTACAGGCTCAGCATTTCTTATTGTACAGTCTGACAGCAGCAGGAAGGAAAGACCTACGGAACCTCTCCTTCACACATGGAGGGTGAATAAGTCTGTCACTGAAGCTTCTCTCCAGAGCAGAGAGTGTGTTCTGCAGGGGGTGACAGTCATGGTCCAGCATAGATGTTAGTTTGCTCAGGACCCTCCTGTCCCCCACCTGCTGCACTGTGTCCAGGGAACAGCCCAGGACTGAGCTGGACTTCCTGATGACCTTGTCCAGCTTCTTCCTGTCCCTCTCTGTGATGCTGCTGTTCCAGCAGACCACACCGTACAAGAGGCTGATGCCACCACAGAGTCATAGAAGGTCTTCAGGAGTGGCCCCTGCACTCCAAAAGACCTAAGCCTCCTCAGCAGGTAGAGGCGACTCTGGCCCTTCTTGAAGAGGGCGTCTGTGTTATGAGTCCAGTCCAGTTTGTGGTTCAGATGAACACCCAGGTACTTGTAAGAGTCCACTCTCTCAATGTCCTTTCCCTGGATGTTTGCGTTGGAGATTTTTCTGGGAGAAAGCAATAGGGTCACAGCCATCCTATGCCTACATGGTCTTTACCAGTGTGCGTTCATTCTGCCATGTCATGGCAAGGCAAGGCAAGTTTATTTATATAGCACAATTCATACACAAGGCAATTAAAAGTGCTGAACAAAACAAGAAAGCATTAAAATCATAAATAATCACAGAACATTAAAAAGAAAGATACAAATATAAAATCCCTCAGCTAAACAGAACTGTCTTTAACCTGGTTTTAAACATTGTCAGAGAGGAGGCCTGTCTCATATCTTCAGGAAGACTGTTCCAGATTTTAGCAGCATGAATCTGAAAAGCAGCCTCCGCATGTTTAGTTCTGACTCTGGGCACTAACAGGAGTCCAGTCCCTGTGCTCCTCAGAGTCCGGGCTGGTTCATATGGTACTAACATGTCACTAATATGCTTTCAAAGTCTGTGTTTACATCAGAATTTAAGGCTTATATTAGCCCCATTCTTTACTGTGACGATAAGACTTTCGCAGACTTTAGCAGACTCATGCTAGACTTCTGCAGGAGCGGCCATGAGTCGGACTTGGAGCAGTCGGGGACCTTGCTTCAATCTTGCTAATTGCACAAACAAAACCTTCTTATGTCTCCTTTTCTCATGTTTGGGTTGATAATTCTCAAACATTTAATAAGCATTTTCATGGTCCACAAATAAAGAGTGAGCAGCGATGTGTCTTCAGAGCCAAAAATGCCAAAGAAAATGTAACGCTCTGCTGCTAATGATGTGTCAAGTCTGCAGGGGAAAGTCAAAAGTAAAGATGTGTTTTTATTTTCACAGCTTTCATCACTCCGATTTTGAGGTGGTACTCTGTGTACTAGGAAAATGGAAGGATCCTTCAAATGCACTCGCAATCAAATACATCACTTTAAGTTATCAGCCAGAGCAATAGAGCAAGGTTCTTACATGAGCGCAGGGTTAAAATTACTTGAGAATCTAATGCAAGGTCAACACAGACTACAAAACGCTCTATGCAAGCGTGTATTTGTATTCAAACTTTATTTGTAGTATGTGCCAGTGCCTACAAAGTTTGCCTGGCACTGTCTGGGTGGAGGTTTAGCTGAACCAACAACAACAGCAGGGTTGTACATAAAGCAGCTTGCACAATTAAACCTCGGACTGACAATAGCCGGTCCGTACGGCGCTGTAAAAGTGTTCTACATGAATGGAAAGGCAGCATGGCGCATGAATCACTGCTCTGACTTTAGGGGAACTGGATAATGAGTCGCTTTCGCTGCGGGGCCTCTCTCAGGGCCCCCGGAGCTGTCCCCCTGCCAGTGCTAGTATTGACATATTTCCCAGGCTTATCGGGCACACACAGACCACGCAGGCACTCAGCTGTGGTCAGACTGAAGGCCTTCCACACGCACAGGGGAGAGCCGGAGCAAAAAGGGCACCGAAAAAAAGCTATTATGAACTGGCTGTAGTTAACTGTACATTTAAAAAGTACCGCTCTCATCCAAATACAAAGGTTTTCCGGTGCTTTCAGCTCTTTACGGTCAGTGTTAATGTGACGAGAATATTAAGCTTAAAACTGGCCACACTGTAACTGGTCTGTTCTATACTGACTTGTCTTAACCATAGACTGTAAATATTAATGTAGTATAGATGTAGTCACGCCTATCTCCACCGTTCTAACTAATGTGCCACAACTTCCGCGGCCTATGGGCAGTTTCAAAATGGCCGCAGGGGCTGGAAAATATAAAAAAAACGCATCTGCGCATGTGTCAGCTGCGCGAGCTCCATTCATTAAACAAGAGACTTCAAAAATTCACAGCAATTAAACTAGATTGGTCCAAAACAATTCACACTTTTGGACCATCCTGTAAAGAGATGTTTTCGAGAGGTCTGCTAATGCTATATATTTGCATTGAATAATTCTCATTCTGGCCCGGGGTGGTATTGCAGCATTTCAGCGCACGTCATTTTGGCCACTTTTGAGCCAGGACCCGCCCCCACTGGTCTTAACCTTTTAATGTTCAGTTCTTGAAGAAAGCTATCTAAATGTTTCTTTTTCTGATTTTCTAAGATATAGGAGCACTAATAACAAATGTTTTTATTATATTCATAGTCCTTTACCAAATGGTTGAGATGCAGTTTGACGGTATAAGAGGTAGATTTCAGTCCCAACCAAGCTTCAAGTAGAAATAGTGACTCAAAAAGTGATCCACCAAATGATTGAGGAAACTATTAAAGGGTTAAGAAATCCATCCTTCTTCCTCTTAATCCATTTGTGGGTGGGGTGTGGAAGTCAGAGCCCCAGCCCCTCACTGATCCTCTGCAGGTGCTCAGTCCACAGGAGGCTGCTCTGTCAGTGAGAGCAAGGCCTTTATAATAATGATAATAATAATAATAAATCTTTATTTGTAAAGCACTTTTCAAAAACAACGTTAACAAAGTGCTGCACAGTTAGCATAATAAACAATAAATTAGTCATAATACAAAGTTAAAACAATAAGATAGATTACAAGAAGACAAGACACACAGAGGAAACAGAAGAAGACAAAACAAAGACAGGACAGACCGTAAAATACGACATTATAAGTTTAAAGCTGACAATTAAAAGCTGCTTGATAAAAGTAGGTTTTAATAATAATGCATCGGTTTTATATAGCGCTTTTTTGGACACTCAAAGACGCTTCACATGTGTCATTATTCATTCACTCCATACACGGTGGTGATAAACTACTAATGTAGCCACAGCTGCCCTGGGGCACACTGACAGAAGCGAGGCAACCAGTATGTGCCATCGGCCCCTCCGACCACCACCAACCATTCACACACACACCAGACTCATTCTAGGCAATGGGGGTGAAGTGTCTTGCCTAAGGACACAACAGCAGTTTGGCACTTTACAGCCGCAGCCGCCCCACTTTTAAGAAGTGATCAGTTCTTAAAAGTGATCACTTTTAAGAAGTGATCACTTCTTAAAATCACTTTTAAGAAGTGATTTAAAAGAGGATACTGATGGAGCTAGCCTTATCTCCTCGGGCAGGTGGTTCCAAAGCCGAGGCTCGGTCACCTTTCGTCCGGAGCCTTGACCTTGGAACGGTCACAGGGACCTGCCCGAGGCTCTGAGGCTGCGGGGGGGCTCGTATCTATCAGCGGGGACTTCAGGCAAAGTGGTGTTAAGTGTCTTGCCCTAGGACATAACAACAGCAGATATCAGAGTCTGTGGTCAAAGGCCAATGCTCTACCAACTCAGCCACTGTCGCCCCCCAAAATAAAAAAATAGGATAATATTTGTCCCAAGGAAGGGCTAAAAACTTTGTGATCATATTTCTTATCATTCACTCACAGTCGGTCACTCTGCCTCCTCATACATACACTGCAAAAAGTGTTGAAAAATAAGTTAAAAATGGCAAAATTGTTCCTAATATGCGGACATTTTGAGCCAAAACAAGATTTGCTGATGGGAAAAAATCATGTTGCTTTATTTTCTCATTCCAAGGAAGACATTTTCTGACTTTTTAAAGCAAGTTCATTTTACTCATTGTCCCGTTGGCAAATCTTGTTTTAAAGCAGTCAGAATGTTCTCTAATTCATTGTTTTGGACTTCTCCCTGATAACAGATTGCCGTGGAGAGTTGTTTGTCTACATGTTCTTCCACAGTTGAGCAGTTCTTACAGTACAGCGCTATAATATCCAAATTAAAACTTTCAATTCTACTGTGAGCTCCTTTCTCCTCCACAGATTTGAGCTGCAATTCACAGCAATTTACGTCAACGTTCTGCAAATAAAGTATGAATGTAGAAAAACAAGTGAGAGGACGCTCCATGAGAATAGTTACACAGTCCATCTTGAAACCAAGCTTTACATAATGCTTTTGGAAACTCAACCTCACAGAGACAGGATTGTTGCGCATTAAAGCCATCTGGAAGTTTACTCTTAGTTTCTTCAGGTTTTTCAGGTTTTCAGACAGAACAAAGTCAGGACATGGTTTTTATAGTAGGTGTTAGTAGCTCAGTTGTAGGCGTCAGTAGCTCAGTTATAGGCGTCAGTAGCTCAGTTGTAGGCGTCAGTAGCTCAGTCGGTAGAGCGTTGGCCTTTGAGCCAGAAGGTCGTGGGTTTGAGCCCACCTCCAGACTTTCACCATCACCTCCCACTGTCTGCTGTTGTTGTGTCCTTAGGCAAGACACTTCACCCCCATTGTCTAGAATGAGTGTGGTATGTGTGTGAATGGTTGGTGGTGATCAGAGGGGCTGATGGCACATCCAGTATGTGCCATCAGCCCCTCTGATCACCTCGCTTCTGTTGGTGTGCCCCAGGGCAGCTGTGGCTACAGTAGAATAATGACATGTAAAGCGTCTTTGAGTGTCCAAAAAAACGCTATATAAAACTGATGCATTATTATTATTATAGTAATTAGTTGTGTCACAGATAAGGCATACGTGTTGCATCAAAAAACAATCCCAACAAATTTAGAGTCATAACATGGATACCCAATCAGAACGTATTAGAGTCATAACATGGATGCTCAGTCGAGTCCTTGTGACTGTGAGGGCCAGATATTTTGTCTTGCGTTTGTCCACCTGCGTTTGTCCACCTAGGTTTGTCCACCTGCGTTTGTCCACCTGGGTTTGTCCACCTGCGTTTGGCCACCTGCGATCGTCCACCTGCGTTTGTCCACCTGCGATCGTCCACCTGCGTTTGTCCACCTGCGTTTGTCCACCTGCGTTTGTCCACCTGCGTTTGTCCACCTGCGTTTGTCCACCTGCGATTGTCCACCTGCGTTTGTCCACCTGCGTTTGTCCACCTGCGTTTGTCCACCTGCGATTGTCCACCTGCGTTTGTCCACCTGCGTTTGTCCACCTGCGTTTGTCCACCTGCGATCGTCCACCTGCGTTTGTCCACCTGCGATCGTCCACCTGCGTTTGTCCACCTGCGTTTGTCAACCTGCGATTGTCCACCTGCGTTTGTCCACCTGCGATTGTCCACCTGCGTTTGTCCACCTGGGTTTGTCCACCTGCGATTGTCCACCTGCGTTTGTCCACCTGAGATTGTCCACCTGCGTTTGTCCACCTGCGATTGTCCACCTGCGTTTGTCCACCTGCGATTGTCCACCTGCGTTTGTCCACCTGCGTTTGTCCACCTGCGTTTGTCCACCTGCGATTGTCCACCTGCGATTGTCCACCTGCGATTGTCCACCTGCGTTTGTCCACCTGCGTTTGTCCACCTGCGATTGTCCACCTGCGTTTGTCCACCTGCGTTTGTCCACCCTGCGTTTGTCCACCTGCGTTTGTCAACCTGCGTTTGTCCACCTGCGTTTGTCCACCTGCGTTTGTCCACCTGCGATTGTCCACCTGCGTTTGTCCACCTGCGTTTGTCCACCCTGCGTTTGTCCACCTGCGTTTGTCCACCTGCGATTGTCCACCTGCGTTTGTCCACCTGCGTTTGTCCACCCTGCGTTTGTCCACCCTGCGTTTGTCCACCTGCGTTTGTCCACCTGCGTAGGCCATAGCTCTATATCCAACATATCTTATAAACAGCCTGTTCCAATTCTTCCACAACTCATTTTGAAGCCATGATCTGCAGTACGTCCTGTTTGGTTTACACATGCAGGATTTATGAAAAGTTCGATTACATGGCACGGGCCGAGGTGTTGACATGAATATGCAAAGTGCAGACGGACTCAGACACACGTCAAAAGTACAGTTTTACTTCTAAATGATGCGGTGGGTTACACAGACTGACAGGCCACTCATCACAGGAGATCTGAAGCAGGACAAGTCTTCACCCAGACGGTCCGCAGACAGTCCAGATTATCTGACAAGTTATGAGGCTTTTTCTGTGAGGCGGGTGATAAATGACATATTTACTTTCACACTCATTTATGTACAGACTGGGGAAGGAACGTACGGTTATAAAATCAATGCCTTCTCCACGCTAAAATCAAATATTAAAGTAGCAATACTGTATGTAAGATTTTCATGTCCAATCATCATTAAAGGGCCCTAATCTGTCAAAAGGCATCAATAAAACGTGCTCTTTTCCAATATTTCTTTAACTAATAACAGTAGTTCAACCAAGATATCCAACTTTCAAAAATATTTTTACAGCTCAGTTTTACATTGTCAAAATTCAAAATTCAATCAACATTTTTAGACCATTAAACAATAACTGTTTCAGAGCGACTAGGACTCAGTTTCCAATGCATTCCAAAGTAAACGCATGATTTTTTTGTTTTGTTTAAAATGGTAAACAACCAAGCTAATCAACATTCATCCACTAAACTCATTAAACATGGCTGACATTGATAACACAATCCAAATTGAACCCGTTGTTTGTACTGCACTGTCAGCGTGTGTACACAAATGTCAACACCTTAAATTGAAGACCACATTTGTGTTACATCATTTATGAATCAATTTGCATTAATACATAACATTACTCCTGCCTCTGGGTAATGAAAAATATGCTTGACACAAATCCAAATCAGTTTTGAGGGGTAAAAAATGAATCCTGACATCCAATTCCACCTTGTCCTGCGTGAAACATATTCACTACAACATTTCCATTATTCTACCAGGTTGATCAACATTATTGGCTCTTAATATTGTATTTAATTCACAATACCTGGGGACAAATGTGATTTATTCTTATGTCACCTGATAAATGAAATCGACTCTTAAGGACAAGGACAATTACTTAAAGTTGTGCGTCCCGTGTGATCAATTATGTTTCACTGTACGCACTGACGGAAGCCACCTTGAACAGAGAAATGAGAAAACAGGCAGAAGGCAAAGGTCTCAGATGCTACGTGTGTTTGAGAAGAGTGTTTGATTAATGAGGACAGACTGTGGCAGGAGGGCTCCGCAGGCGTCACGACCACTGCCTGAACACCATCTATAGGAGCTCCGGTGAAAAGATGCAGGGTTAAAGGGGATCTCAAACGGATGCAGGATTCATATACAGCAGAGGCGTCAAACTCATTTTGGTCTGGGGCCGAATAAGAAGAAATAGGAAGTGGTTGAGGGCTAGCCTGGTCGTACCATGGTCGGCACTAGATCATAAACGGAATCGGGACGAAACCGGAAGTAACAATCCTACTTTGGAATTAGTTTTAGACTAATAAGTCCTTAAGTGGTGACTGGTTAAGTTTTAGGCGTCTGAGTAAGATGGTTAAGGTTAGGGTTAAAGGGCCCATATCACGGTTTTTGACTTTTCTCTGCTTTAAACATGATTACAATGCTATTTGGCCTTCATACACAAGCCCACAGTAGTTTATTCATTGATTCTGTCAATCTTTTGTAAGAGAACAATCTGTCTCCTTCCCCAGCGTGAGGCACAGAAACGCTCGGGTCCACTTCAGTGACGAAAACCACACTGATGACGCGCATGACCCCGTTTGCTTTGTATTTAAAATAGTTGTTAAATACTTCAAAACGGGGTAAAAAATACACAATTAGTATGCTGTTTTTTGTCAAACATAATAACAATAAAAATAAATTAAAAGCCGGCGGGAGGTGATTGACGGATCAAAACAGCGAATCAGAGCGCACAGGCTCCGGCTCCCGAGTCCAGCGTCTGGGGTCTGGTCTCGCGGACACCACATAGAGCTGCTGTTTTTATGCTTTTGTCAGCAACTAAAAGTGTTAGGATCACGTCAACTTGAATGAAGTGTGTTTTGGGTGTAAATATGTGACACACTATTTGGCCCTAAGAGGAAGAAAGCGGCTCAACTTTTTTCATCTGTTCATCTCATGGATCTATTATAATACCGGTTCATCTGCAACACTTCACTGAGACTGTTCCAGAACTACAGAACCAATGGAACTGGACTTACTCAAAAGCTGATCTGGAAACACGTTATTCCCACGGTAAAAGACGTAACTCGGACCCCCTCGATCTGTAAGTAGTGACGCTAACTCGCTGTATACTTCTGTAAACTAAATACTGTAACTAGGGTCTGATTGTGCATCGAGGACATAGGGCTCGATGTGACGGATTGTCATTGTTGGAAAAAGTTTATTCTTATGTATGAAATGACTATGTACCAGTGATAAACGACAAAAGCGTGATGCTACGTCACCGTGCGGGCGGGGGGAGGCGGGCTCACAGGCAGAGGAGCAGACTCTTCTCTGGATCAGCTCGTTTGAGTCGAGGTGACGTCACCTCTATACAAGAGATGGCTCTAATCTCACAAGCTTTGATTGTTGTGTGGTGTATCATACACATTAATATCACACATGTGTATAGGACTGAGTGTGAAACATGAAGAAAAGCGTGATATAGGACCTTTAAGGTGGTCTGAGTAAGATGGTTAAGGTTAGGGTTAAGGTGGTCTGAGTAAGATGGTTAAGGTTAGGGTTAAGGTGGTCTGAGTAAGATGGTTAAGGTTAGGGTTAAGGTGGTCTGTGTAAGATGGTTAAGGTTAGGGTTAAGGTGGTCTGAGTAAGATGGTTAAGGTTAGGGTTAAGGTGGTCTGAGTAAGATGGTTAAGGTTAGGGTTAAGGTGGTCTGAGTAAGATGGTTAAGGTTAGGGTTAAGGTGGTCTGAGTAAGATGGTTAAGGTTAGTGTTAAGGTGGTCTGAGTAAGATGGTTAAGGTTAGGGTTAAGGTGGTCTGAGTAAGATGGTTAAGGTTAGGGTTAAGGTGGTCTGAGTAAGATGGTTAAGGTCAGGGTTAAGGTGGTCTGAGTAAGATGGTTAAGGTTAGGGTTAAGGTGGTCTGAGTAAGATGGTTAAGGTTAGGGTTAAGGTGGTCTGAGTAAGATGGTTAAGGTTAGGTTTAAGGTGGTCTGAGTAAGATGGTTAAGGTTAGGTTTAAGGGTGGGTTGGGGTTATTTTATGGTTAAGTTTAGGCATGAATAGGTAGTTTGTTAGATATACTTCCGCTTCCGTCCCGATTCCGTATATTCAGATTCATATTCAGATTTCAGATTCATTTATTTGCCATTTGCAGTAAAACCACATTGGAAAAACTGTGCAAGACTACCCCAGTGTGCACCATATGATCTAGTGCTGACCGTCGTACCACACCATAGTACAAATTACATTTTGTACTAAGGTCTGGAGGTGCTTCATTGAGCTCCGTGAACAGGTGGGTGGGGGTTAACTCCTTTTGCAGATTGAAACGATTGGATCGCAGTTTAGCGTGTCATTTGTAATGCGCCTGAGTGAGTGAGGGTTTTAGCATTTAGCCTAGCTTTAGCCAGCTCCTTTGCCGCTAACGGAGCCCGTGGGGAGTAGCGCCACAATGTTTGCCAGCGATTACATTTGCTAAACATTTTTCTTGCTCCGGCTTCAATTTCTTGATAGTAAAGTAATCCGGTCTGGTTCTACCGCATTATTCGCCATCGCCAAACTACAACCTGCCCGTTCGGCGCAAACTCTTGACGTCACCGGCACCGACCTACAACACCCGCCTCCCGCGCTCTCTGATTGGTCAGATGAAATTCAACCAATTGTAATCGCTAACACAGGGACCAGACCCAGACGTTACATGCAGGAAATGATGATTGAGCGGAGAGTACGGATGGATAAGACCAGGCTAGTCGAGAGCCGAAAGAATAGAGGGGATTTTCTGTTTTTATTCTTAATTGTTGTTTTTACTTTATGAAGACATGAATTTTGTGGTTGATTTTTCTGAAAACAAAATGGTGTGATGGTATTTTATTGTTTTTTTTTTTATTGTGCATATTTTTTTTATTTTCTGATATGTTTTATTTGTTTTTATAACAAGGCTTGCAAACTTGCATTTTTAAATAGGTTGATTTTATCTCTGCACAACTTTGGAAACTTGTTCTATAAAATGTGCTAAATAAATAAAGTGGATTGAAAATGTGTTTATTGTTTAGATTTAACCAAAACTGTACCAAATATAAAGTTAAATACATAGTTTTGATGGGTTAACGATGGGTACATGATGGGTTAACGTTTTAGGCAAGTTCTGTAGTCCCACCGTCACACTCACACTTTCACCCTGAACTATTCTACTTGTTTGTAACTGATTTGGGAAACTGGAGCACCCGGAGGAAACCCACACAGACATTGAAAATATATGCAAACTCCGCACTGAAAGGGCCTGTCTGTGGGTGGAATTGAACCCAAGACCTCAGATCCATGTTCTCACTGCTTTTTGTAAAAACATTTAAAAAAGTACACTGCAAAAAGTCCCTTGCTAGAAACAAGAAAAAAAAAACACAAAAGACGACAATTTTGCTTATTTTAAGCAAAAAAGAAACTATAGTTTCTTTGTTGAATCAAAAACTTTGTACTTCCATTCTGGTGAGAGAGGACACAACATGTGATAGTTGGAATGTTCTGTGCCCATTTTTACATGTTTTAAAAATTAACTTGGCATCCAGAAACTGAGCAGCTGTTGCATCGCACAAACTTTCAAACTTCATTCCCATCCAATCCACTTTATCTATATAGCACATGTCATAAACAGTTTCCAAAGTGCTGCACAAGAAAATGCTAATTAAAAAACAAGAAGAAGGTACTTTATTTGTCCCAC